AACAGAATGAGACCCCATCTCTAAAAAGTTAAACAAAACAAAACAAAACAATTTGACCTTCATATGTTAATTTTCAAATGTTTCCTCCCAGTGACTTAAAAATTTTTATTCATGGTATTTTAAATCAAATCTTTAAAAAATTTATATGGCTAATTCCACAATTAAAAATATTTCCCTTCATATTTATTACTGTAGTTTTGCATTTTTAATTTATTACTGTAACTGATTTTATTGTTCCATCTTCCTCGTCTCTTAGCTTAGCATTTATCATTTATTCAATGCTTACTCCAAGGATACAATATGCATCCTTGGCTTATTAAATATTTATAAATGAGTACTTTTACTTGCCTCAAACAATGGGAGAGGCTTAGAAAACTAAGTCACTTACATTTCTGTTGACTTATATGCTATTGTCATTGTGAATTTTAAACCTCATAAAATATTTTGTGTAACGCATTTGATATTCAATTAGATGTATCTATCTACCTATCTATCCATCTATCTATCCATCCATCCATCCTAATCTGTCCATTTCACTTGCTCCTCATTCCTCATTTCACTTGCTCTTCATTCCTTTCTATTTCTCTCACTTTCCATTTGGAATCATTTTCTTTATGCCTGGAGAGTACCTGTTAATACTTCCTTTAGTGTGTTTCTAATAAATTTTCTTTTTCCTTTTTTTGAGATGGAGTGTTGTTCTTGTTGCCTAGACTGGAGTGCAATGGTGCTATCTCGGATCACTGCAACCTCTGCCTCCTGGGTTTAAGCGATTCGCCTGCCTCAGTCTCCCAAGTAGTTGGGACTACAGGCATGTGCCACCACGCCTAGCTATTTTTGCATTTTTAGTAGAGACAGGGTTTCACCATGTTGACCAGGATGGTCTGGATCTCTTGACTTCATAATTCGTCTGCCTTGGCCTCCCAAAGTGCTGGGTTTACAGGCGTAAGCCACTGCGTCTGGCCAATTTTCTTGTTTTTTATATCTAGAAATCTCTCTATTAAAATCCTCATATTTTCTGTTCATATTCTTTGCCCATGTTTCTTTTGCCCTGTTTGCCTTTTCTTATTTTATCACAGAAACTGTTTTTTCTTGCTATGAAGTTCTAGATTGGCAGTTATTTACTTAGGACAATTTGAAATTACTTCATGGTCCTCTGGCTGTCATTGTGATTGCTAAGTCAGCTGTCAGTCTTACTGTTACCTCCTTCAAGGACATATGTCTTTTGTTTTCTACAGTTGGTTTTAAGATTGTCTTTGTCTTTCATTTTCAGAAATTTTACTATACTATGCTTAGGTGTGGATTGACATGTATCTAGTGTTCAAGTAAATCCTAAATCTGTTTCCTAATGTTGTTGGTTAGTTCTGGAAAATTAACGCTTCATATGTCACTTTTATCTTCTCATTCTAGAATTGACTTTTTTTCTCTCCATCATACCTTTTACTATATCCATACTGTCTTACGCATTTTCTGTGTTTACATACTTTTGCATCGCCATGCTTTATTTTAGATTTTTTCTTTGGATTTATCTTCCAGTTTACCAATTTTTCTCTTTAGCTATGAACTAACTTGTTAAACGTATTCACTTGTTTTTAAATTTTTATTGTAGTTTTCTATTTCAGAACTTCTATTTAATGTTGTAATCATTTTTTGTTATCTGCTAAAATTTATATATTTTATTTTCAAGAATATTTTTTATTTCTTAAGGATAATTATTTTCAAGTACATGACGATGACTCCATCATCTGGAATAGTTGTGTTCTATTTTTGTTTTCTGTGTGATTTTTATTATGTGACAGACATTGGTTATGAAAAACTGTTGATACAATCTGGAGTGTGGCATGATTTTATTTTACAGAGGAAGTTAACAACACTATACACAGCTAACCTAAATCTGCCAAAAATGGAGGAAATTTGGAATTGAAGTTAAGTCCACGTTAGTTAGGGCTGATCTCCTAAAATGTGGTCCTGTGTAGACACAACATGCTACTTGTAAAATTTGCTATATTCTCTTCCCTCTCCAATTTTTGTTCTCCTAGCTCCATGCATCTACCAAAATTTTACTTCTCAGCTTCTAAGTTTCTTAGCCACTTTTTCCAAACTAGTAGATACCTACAGGTAGAAAGCATTTCTGAATGTCAGGCTTATAATCTTTTTTGAGCTTTTCTAGCTGAGCTTTCAAACATTTAAGGCTTAAAAAAATCTTGTCCAATTTTTCTAGTTGCTCCCAGTGGAAGTGTTTGCCAAACTATAGTTCACCATTATGGAACGTGTCTTCCATCATGGGAAATGGGTATCTTAATAAATTGGATTCATTTTTAAGTTTGGTATAAGGTAAAAATCTAATTTATTTTTAACAAACATGTAGCCAATTATCCCAACTAATTTTAAATGCCGATTTACTAAATATTTGTATATGCCACATATTAAAACCCACATATGCACAGGTTTATTTCTAAATTTCATATTTAAAACAAACGAACAATAATAATCAAGTATTAAAAGTAACTATGAGAAGGCATTGCCATACTAGGTAACAAGACAGTTGATAAAGTTGTGGCCTCTTCCTCCATCTTCCAGGCCAACAGAGTGACATCTTCAAATCTTCCTTTTTCTGTCTCTGATCCTCCTGCCCTCCTCTTTTTCTTATATGGAGATTACATTGATCCTACTTCAGTAATCTGGAATAATCCCTCCATCTCAAATTCATTAACTTAATCAAATCTGCAAAGTCCCTTTTACCATGTAAAGTAATATACTAACAAGTTCCAGGAATTAGTAATAGTCGTCTTCAACTATGCAGCCAATATTCAAATGCCTCAATTATCTCATAACTGTTTTGTGTTTGTGGTTTGGTTTGTCTGTCTGTTTGAAGTGGGATCCAAATAAGATACCTACATTGAATTTTATTCAGTCATTTTTTAATCTATAGGTTTACCCTTTATGTATTTTTATTTTTTTGCAATTTGTTTGTTGAATAGTTCATGTCTTCTGTCCTATAAAATCTCCTATACCCTAATTTGCTAATTGTATTTTTATGATATCTTTTACATATTCCTTTATCTTCCGTATTTCCAGTAAATGAGAAGTTAGTGTTAGAAGACTGACAAAAAGACTAACCAGTTCAAATTGAAAGAGCAATTTATATGGGGTTTCACATAATTTTATTAAAAAGCATGTGAAGTCTGGTTTTCTTTCTTTTTGTGATGTCAGGAGCCACGCATCATCCTTGCCTAGATCTATTATTTTATTAAAGGTTGACAAATGGCGATATTCTATTTCATCATTCTTTTCTCACTTATGAAAGGGATACTCCTATGATTAGAGGAAATTTATGTTTTGTTCTCATCTATCCATAATTAAAGAAACTAAGTTTTTTTGGTGTTATCTAAGTTGAATACTTGCCTAAGTGTTAAATTTCAAACATTCATGTGTTTGTCTTGTGGCCCTTATTTGGTCCTAGAGCCTTGAGATCAGCATGAATAATCACATTACTGGGCAGGCCTCTGCCTCTGCCATGAAAGGTTGTTAATTAAAAAACAGGTATTTGTATCAAGGGTTAGCAAACACTTCTAAAATGTCATAAAATGTAGTGGTGTAAAATCTGCTTTCACTAATCCTTTAAAATTCCATGAGTGGCCTAATTCTTGAAGACACAACATTCATCTCTTAAGGATTTTTTTTTTTTTAATTGCTCTGGTCAGCTTGGGGAAAATACAAGTGACAATGGAAAATGAAGCAGCCGATCTGTGTCTACTTTCTCCATTTCATCTTTCCATAAGCATAAATTTCACCTAAATATATCCTTACAATATAGAAGAAAGGCATGATTGTGTAATTAACAAAGGAAAAGGGAGTTCTTTCTGAAATTTTTTCTTGATCACTCTAAATATCTACTTAAGCTGTTATTGATCCACTATCATATTCTCAAAGTTTTGCTTGAACTGATGAGATAGGATTATATTCCAAACTGATAATTATTGTAAGGGCTGTCACACGATATGATGTAATTCTGAAGTGGAAATGTTTTTCAGTGAAACTTTGTCAAGTGACACCTAATTTAAGCTACAGTATGAGGAGACTGCAAAGAAGTAATTTTTAGGAAAATTAGAAGCAAAAAGGGTTCCTTGTTTTCTGGCAGTTCACTTTTAAAAGGCTGGCATTAGAACAAGTACCCAAATGAAGAGTGAGTAATGGTGACTGAGGTGTTTATGAAGCGAGTAGTTTATAAATTCCAGAATAACAATACCCATGAAGTCAGAATAGCTGGCATGTTCCACGTGGTTCTTAATATCAGGAAAATTACAAAGATAATGAGAATATCCCCTTATTCACTGTTTATTTCTGATTATGGCCTATAATTGGTTGACTATATCAACCCACAGGAAACAAATAGGAAACCATATAATACAGTGCATATCTACATGCTTATTGGTGCAACAGTAGCCCAAATTCAGCAATAAGAAATCAGCTGGAATACAATAATATGAATTGATTAGAGAGTTTGTCTAAACCTTTTGTTTGAGATTATGATGCAATTAAGGTAGGTGTGATCCATTGAGGAAGTGGGATATGAATTAGGTCTTAAACAATGAGTAGAATTAAAAAAAAATGTGAAATTAGAAGAGATTTCACTGAATTAAGTTGTCATTACATTTATTTATATAATTATTCTTTTTTGCAAATTACTAGTTGGTTTATCATTTTTTTCTGACTTGATTTGTATGCAGACATACGTACCTTATCCAACTGAACTTTGTCAAATAATCCATAAATACACAAAGTATGCATGATTAACAATGCTTTTAATGCCAAAAGACAGCTTATTTTCTTAATCCAAAGATCACTTTATCTAATTATTCTTTTTGCAAACTACGAATTGGTTATATTAACACTTGAATAATCTTGACAAGAAGTTGCTTTAAGCAGTTAAAGATCCAGATGCTGATCAGCATGCATTAAGTGATTCTGTTTAATTGATTCCATCTAGATAAATTACTTACCTCAGTTCCTATCACAATTTCTTCCCTGGCAGAGTAGAACATAAATTCGTAGAGCTTGTAGTGTTGAAATAAGCTGAAATACAAAACAAATGTGCGCTCTGATAAGTCAGTTTCAGAAAAAAAAACCACAATAGGTAAAAGCATTTATTAAAGGAAACTTCATATTGACCAAGCTAATGCTATCAAACACTAAAATAGAGTTAGCAACCTCCTTTATTCCAAAAGAAATTGTCTGGAAATGCTAAGAAATTAGAGTTTTATTTTTTAAGGAAATGACAATATAACACAGTACCTAGAATAATATCAGTAAATCCATCTGCAATGAGTGGGTAAGTTAGGAATAAGAAAGAAATTAGATGGCATCTTGACTCTTTGTATCTTGAAAGCAAATAATGCGCCATCCCTAAATAATATGAAACTTCATATTATTTGCTATGTTTTGCTGCAAACAGGAGTCAATTTCCTCTGGTACGAATGGCACTGAGCTATATAATCTACCTCTATATTAGTTACTTCTTACATTCTCAAACTGTTTCAAGATTAAATTAATCTCTAATAATACCTGAAAAATGATGGTGCATGAACTAAAATCCATTTCGAAAATGTCTGAGTTTCCTGCAGAATATTCGGTCATACATGAAAGGGAAAAGTTAATTTAAGAGAGATTATTTCTTCAGTTCTTACCCTAAAAACTGGGTGGTCAGCATATAAAAATTATAAAGAACCAAAGGATAGGCGGTCACTAACACAAGTATTTCCAGCAAGTTTAAAGAGCAATGCATTATTAAGAGTTAAAAATTTACTGAAGGGCTGACTTCTAATATCCTGTTTGTGATAACATTTGAATTTTTCTAGTTCTCTTCCTGCTGGTTGGGAAAATTAATAGACTCATAATACAGCAAAATGCCCAAGAACAAAAAATTGTCTTAGTGGTTTCTCTTTCACTCTGGTGACTTTTGCTATTTAAGAAAATTGATTTTAATATAACTGAGAAATTAACGTTTGCAAAATGTAGCTACAGAGCATGTATAATAATGGCTTCTCCTGGATGTTGTAATGGATCAAAGTTTCAATTCATTTGAAATCAATGGAGAAATTCTTAGGCAGCTGAGTCTCTCTCAGTTATATTAGCAGTTGATCTCACTACTAACACAATCCATTAAAAAGTGATGGATGTGCAGACTGTGTCATGGTATTATTTTTTGGGGAAAAAAATCTTTTGTACATTCAAATTACTCATCAACATTCAGAAAAGTAACTTGGCTTTGACATTACTTTGATTTGTTGGCTAGAAAAATACATCAAGATTAGTGAAGTTTGATAATTCAATGAAGCAAAATAAATTCAAATTCTTCCTAACTTATACTGGTTACCTAGAGAAAGCCTTAAGGTCAAAAATATTACACTGGCAATAACTGATTTTAAGTAGAAAAATTAAAGCCTATAGAGTATTTTGGAAACAGCTTGGCTTCCTCTCAGAGAACCAGCATAAAATGTCCCTTTCTCTATCTTGTGTCACACAAAGAACTTAATTCATAGATCTTCCTTCCTGCAATTTTGTAATCTTTCAGCCTTATTATTTTCATTGCATATAGGAATAAGGTTGTCCCATGCCAAGACGGAAAGTCACTTCTTAACATTGAAAATGCATAATTTGGATAAGGTGGTCAAAGCTGCAGGCTTGGGGGCAAGACCAGGACGAGGGCCTTGTCTAGCTTTACCAGGGGCACGGGAAGAAAGTGACACTTCTGCTGTGATCATGCATTTTCTTCCTCTTCTGACTGACTTAACCTCTTAGATTATTTTGTCAAACATTTAGTCTTAGTTCTAAATTGAAGAGAGATAAAGTGAAAATAATTCAAGATGTCTGGCTCAATGCGTGAAGTGCAGCACCCTGTGGTGTACAGAAGGGCAGGGTTGATTTTCTTATATTGAGTATATGCCTCTTATGTTGGGTATACACCTGAAATTGCTATCGCCTAATTCCCAAAAATAGGTAGAATCCACAAGGACAAAAGTGTATTTGGGCCATATATATGTAAATGATGTCTTTTCCCCTATTGTTATATTTATTATTCATTTTTTTGTCACCCAAAGTGCCTTCCTCACATAATCCTGATGCAGTTTGCTTTAGAACAGCAATTATATATATATATATATATATATATATATATATATATACTTTTAAGTTCTGGAGTACATGTGCAGAATGTGCAGGTTTGTTACACAGGTATACATATGCTATGGTGGTTTGCTGCACCCATCAACCTGTCATCTACATTAGCTATTTATCCTAATGCTATCTCTCTCCCAACCTCCCACCCCCTGACAGGCCCTGGTGTGTGATGTTCCCCTATCTGTGTTCAGTTCTCCTTGTTCAGCTCCCTCCTATGAATGAGAACATGTGGTGTTTGGTTTTCTGTTCTTATGTTAGTTTGCTTGAGAAAGATGATTTCCAGCTTCATCCACATTCCTGCAAAGGACATGAATTCAGCCTTTTTTTATGGCTGCATAGTATTCTGTATGATGTTTTATACTAAAAAGTTGCAGAAGTGTTTTTATTCCTACACATTATATAATACATACAAATGTGCCACTAGACTTGCACAACTAGATTTGCCAGCACTTATAGTCATGTGGGGGAGGAAATTTGGTATTCATTTTTTTCGAATCACAGACACATGACAGAGTGTGTTAACAGCATCGAATGAAATTTCCATCTGATTGTCAGTTAAGTTTCATGTGCTATGGGTCATGTTGTAAAAACTGCTTTCCCTAAATGGCTTTTAGTGGTTGGGTAAATTTAACATCAGGTTAAATTCAAACACTCTTATACTTTTGATAACTGGGTTACCTTCATATTTGTAAAACTGCTTTGTAGTCATCAAAATGAAAAATATTATATTATTTCATTGTGATTAAACTTTTCTTTTCCTTCAACTTTTAAGTTTGAGGATACATGTGCCGGATGTGCAGGTTTGTTACATAGGTAAATGGGTGCCATGGTGGTTTGCTGCACAGATCAACCTATCACTTAGGTATTAAGCCCAGCATCCATTAGCTAGTCTTCCTGATGCTGCCCCTCCTCCCAGGCCCTTTCAAACTTTCATTTGTGGACTTTTGAGGGGTTCTGAACAGGTGTTGTAGAAAAGCATATTTTCTTTTACACAACTTCAGAATCAATTCCAGATATCCTACTGATATTTTATAGTTCTGTAATAGGAATATTTAAATTGCATAATTTCTTTGAAATAACAATATGAAGACTTAACAGCAACAAAATTGTTGTGATTTACTTTATTTGACTAACTTCTTAAATACAACTTATTTGGTTTTGTTTAGTGAAGTAATAATATTAGGGATTTATAATATGTGAAATTATCCTGTTAGGATCTAAAGGTGGCTAACATGGACGTCTCCTCTTAACTGTTTTCTGAAGGACAATGTCAAGAAATATGTTGATGAACATTCGCCCAGAGAGTAGAGATGAAGGGGAAAAGAGTTGCCATCCTTTGTCTTCTGGAAGGTGTGATTACAGCACCTGCATGGGTTTTGTGGCCCTGGTTAACTCTCAGTCCCGGTGCCCATTAGAAGCCTCCTGGGCTGAGAGCTCAGTTGTTAAAAATGTGTTCTGCAAGAGAAACTGGGACTGTTCAAACAGAGAAGGAAAAGAAGGATGCTAATACAATGTGCAAAGTGGAATTCTTCTTGCCCAGTGATTCTCAAACTCTGATGGGTAGAAAGACCTTGAGGAATAGTCTCTCCTCCAATTCTGGATTACCATCCTCCCCCGCAATACAAGAACCTTGCCTACTCTAATTGATATGAAAACTACTCTGGCTTTGACTGAGAGACACCTCTTAGGAGGTATGTTTTAATATTAAGAAGCCACATTATATCAAATGTTATTATGTAAAAACCATATCACATCATATGACATTATTAATCCATGCCAGAAACCAATATATAAACTTTATCATTTTAAACACACTAGTATTTTAAAAGCTTTCTAGATTTCAACCAGGCTCCTTGCCAAGCAAATCATGAACATGTCTAGGATATCAGTCAGCACTCTTATTTTAGAACTTTAAATTTTAAAGTTGAAAAACACTGGAGTGTATAAGAGGAACAAAAATATTATGCATAAGCTTTCAGCTTGACAAAAGATTTTTACCTACTCTTCTTTGAATATTTGCAAACTCTAAAAATGTCCCTTTCGAGAGATGCATGACTCTACTGCAGATTTTGTGACAGATTATATAAAAAGATAAATTTCTTAGTTCACCAATGAAGAATCACTGTAATAAAAATACTTTCCTTCCGCCCACCGTCATTTTCCAAGCAGTAAGAAAGACTTAATGAGTTTAATTGGTCAATAGTACAAGATATTTCAGGGCATGTAATAAATTTGAGGAAGCATATTCATAAATCTCTTCAAATTCTAATACAAAGCAATTAAAATAAATATTTAAATAGCAATGAATGTTGCTCTTCAAAATGTAAAATCAGGTAGTTGGAAAGATCAACTGCCTAAAGTATAGAGTCTATTGTAATTGAATCTGATTAATCTGAATCATCCTATAATAAATAATACTAATTAAAGATGCAAAGAAAAATGAAATTCTTAATTTATTATAATTTTAGATGAAATTATATTTATCAAATGCAAACCTTTTTTCAGGAATGCAAAGTTAGCCAAAGTGTTCACTGTTCTGACTTTTAGTTATCAGATGAAAGATTTGTACACCTAATTTAAAGAAGATTTAATTACCTAATTATTGGTTGGGCTAATTACTGCATAAATTCTGTAAATATCTGAATTTGCTAAAAGCTGAATTATTTTTATTTAACATTTTCCAGAAGATGTGAAAGATAAATGTTACTGAAAATAATCCATACCTGATTTTTATGTAATCAATGATAGCATTGGCTTGTTTTACATCAAAGATATTCCATTCCTCACTTTTTCGTGAATGATTTGGTCCTATTTCAGCCATAACTTCTCCAAGCCATTTTATGCTGTCCTCTAAGGACATATGTAGTGCTGAAATAAAATCCAGAGAAATCTTAAGTATTATTTTGATAGATGTTTTCAGGATAAGATAATCCAAGATGTTTTTAATGTGCCAAAATTTACTTTGTTAAGTATTTGTGAGGATAAATTGTAAAACTCTTGTTTCTTATTAATAAATTAATACATTTTGTGCAAAAGAATAGCGGCTGGCTGGGAATGGTGGCTCAAGCCTGTAATCTCAGCACTTTGGGAGGCTGAGGTGGGTGGAACACTTGAGCCCATGAGTTAGACACCAGCCTGGCAACAGGGTGAAACCCTGTCCCTTCAAAAAAAACACAAAAATTAGCCAGGCATGGTGGCACATGCCTGAGGTCCCAGCTACTTGGGGGGCTGAGGTACAAGGATGGCTTGAGCCTGGGAGGTGGAGGTTGCAGTGAGCTGGGATGGTGCCACTGCACTACAGCCTTGGTGGCAGAGTGAGACTTGGTCTCGGGAAAAAAAAAATAGCAGCTGACCCCACCCCACCATTTGTAAATTACTATAATGCTACACAATTGTCTGCAGAGTTAATGTTTCCATTTTAGGATGAAAAAAAAGTCAAAATCTACTTTAAAATCTTTCTTTAAAATGAAAAGGAGTTTTTAAAAATATATATACAATCTTAGAATAAAAGCATGAAAATTGCAAAAAAGATGTTTGACAGCTGGTGAGGAAGGGAAGGCTTAGATGGTAGGCTCAGTTACTAGACAGCAGAGCTGAACTTAGAGCTGAAAATGTAAATGAATGGAGTCAATCAACACTGGGCTTCAGCCAATTGTTTCCATGTGTAAATCTGGGTTTGAAGATTTTCAATAGAAGTCAGAAATATGGATTTTTCTGTAAAACATCAAGTTTTTTTTTTCTTTTCCACAGCTACAGACTTATAACTCATGTAAGCCATTTCTCAAATGTCTGCCCAGTGGTGCTGATGAGAGGCGGATGAAAATGCACAACGAGTGACCACAATCCGGCCACCACTAGCAGAAGTAACCAGCGCAGTGATTCTCATCTGTTCTCTCACAGCTTCACACCAATGAAAACAAACATTCGAAACTATCTTCTGTGGCATTTGTCCAGTTGAAAAAGAACACCTTAGACTTAACTTTTAAAGTGTCTGTAATAATAATATGAACTTTTATCTTCTTTTCTCATTTGGCTCCATTATGCTTGATGTTACTTGTGACAGATAAAATATTATTTACAACCCACACATATGCTATCCACCCTTTCCCTGGAAGATGGAGTCAGGTACGTGGACTGGCCAGAGTGTCCTATGTTTGCAGAAAAGTGACGAGTGTATGGACATAAAACCAAGGATCCTGGAGGTGGAGAGCTGAAAGACACTAAAGCCAGGCTGGGCCGGCTGCTTAGGGGAGGTGAATGTCAGCAGGGGGCCTGAATGTGGGATCTGGGGGAATTGTGCTGCTCAGTGTGGACCCCACCAACCAAATCTCTCTCTTTCTCAAACCATCAGTAAATGCTACACTTGTTGTAATGGAGTTGATTTGGAAAGGAGGGGGTGGAGATTAAAAGAAGTTATGAGAACATAGACTGAATGCTGGACCAGGTATTTCTGGATTACACAGTTCCTCCTTCCCACTGGGATGAGTTGATTTGGAAGGGATGGGGGTGTAGATTAAAAGAAGTTATGAGAACATAGGCAGGTTGCTGGACCAGGTATTTCTGGATTACACAGCTATGCCTTTCCATTGGTGTGTAAGTGCTCTACCGTAAATACCAAAATTACTAATAAGGTAAAGTAATTTAAAATGTTAGGAAGACACTATATACACTAACTTGAAATTTGTTTAGTATAGCTTCTTGTCTACTTATAGGAATTAGAAAGAAGCATAAAACTATATACAACAATTAAAATCTGGTTTAATGAATTACAGTTGGTTCATTTCCCATTGCCTCCCACCAGATCATCTTTTATGTATGTCAGATACACTGAATTATTTCTGGATAACTAGGTATTCCCATATCATTCTAAGTGGAATTCAATTATTATTGTACATTTCTCTCTTCATGATAAACTTCTTTTGATAATAGTGGAAGTAGCTTCAGAAATGAAAAATCTGTTGGATAAAAGGAATTCATAAATGAATGGAAAATCTGAATCATTTTATTAATAAAATGATATTAATTAGAGATGCAGAGAAAAGAGAAGTTCTTAGATAACTGATTATAATTCTAGATAAAATTATACTTATCAAACAAAAATACATTTATATGACTATTTCCTTCTGAAAATAGTTGAATCTTTAAAACTGTTTTCTATGTCTGATGTCTTTCTGTAGATAATTCCTTTAAAAATTAGGGAAGTTATAATTTCATTTATCTAACTGAAATATTTGCTCTTTTAAAAATCCCATTTAGCGATGTGATTAAAATATAAAAGACTAAGCCACTCAAATAGTAAAAGCTTCTAGAAATAAAATTTATTCTTGAAAATTTAGAGTAATGAAAGAACTTACTAGACTTATAATTAATTGAAAAATGTAGGACGATACCTAACTGACCTTTACTATTAATATCTGGGTGACCTGAGTCTCTTTATATTTATCTACTTTTGGAGACAGGGTCTTGCTCTGTTACCCAGACTGGAGTGCAGTGATGCAATCATGGCTCATTGCAGCCTTAGCCTCCTGGGCTCAAGTGATTCTCCCACTTCAGAATCCCAAGTAGCTGAGACCACAGCTGTGTGCCCCCATACCTGGCTAATTTTTAATTTTTTTTTTTTTAGAGATGGGATTTCTCCATGTTGCCCAGGCTGGTCTTGAACTCCTGGCCTCAAAAGATCCTCCTGCTTTGGCCTCGTAAAGTGCTAGGATTACAGGCATGAGCCACTGCACCTGGCCTCATTTCCTTTCTATGTAAAATGAGAATACTGCAATACCTATTTTCAAAATTATAGTACTGTTGTGTGGATTGAATAAGAAATTTGTGTCCAGGTGCAGTGGCTTCTGCCTGTAATCCTAGCACTTTGGGAGGCGGAGGAAGGCAGATCACCTGAGGTCAAGAGTTTGAGACCAGCCAAGCCAAAATAGCAAAACCCCATCTCTACTAAAAATACAAAAATTAGCCAGGGGTGGTAGCATGTGCCTGTAGTCCCAGCTACTTGGGAGGCTGAGGCAGGAGAATTGCTTGAACCCAAAAGGTGGAGGTTGCAGTGAGCCGAGATTGTGCCACTGCACTCTAGCCTGGCCAGGAGACAGAGTGAGACTCCGCTTCAAAAAAAAAAAGAAAAGAAAATGAATATATGTGGAATTCCTGGTGCTATTATATGTGTATAGTGGTTTTCTATATTTAGCCCAAGGCCAGCACATTTGTTGTATTTTTCAGAAGGATGGGCTCTCACTTGCTAGTGTAGACCCTGTGTGACCTTAAGGAGTCACTGAACCCCTCTGACTCATTAATTTCTCTCTTAAGGTAGCATGTAAATTAAATAAGACAATATTTGTAAAGCAATTGGCACTGTGACTTGCACAAGCTAATCTACATAAATGTCACCTGAATTTACTATTCCTATTAAGAGGAAAACCAATTTAGCATCATAAGAACTAAAAAATATTCTATACTTACTTACTAACATTCATGTTATACACAGAGGGGTCCATCTAGGCCTATGGACCTGGATAAAGGCCCAATACCCAGTCTATCCAATACTCTAGAGCGGGGGTGTCCAGTCTTTTGGCTTCCCTGGGCCATATCGGAAGAAGAAGAATCGTCTTGGGCCACACATAAACTGTATTAGCACTAATGATAGCTGATGAGCTTAAACAAAATGGCAAGGAAAATCCAATAATGTTTTAAGAAAATTTACAAATTTGTGTTGGGCCACATTCAAAGCCATCTTGGGCCACATGCAGCTCGCAGGACATGGATTGAACAAACTTGCTCTACAGCTTATCCTTGGTCAGGCCCTGGAAAAACTAGACCTCACAATATATACTGTTAAGAAAAATGTACAAGTTCTATGTACCCTTTTTTTTTTTTTTTTTTTTGCGATGCAGTCTCGCTGTGTCACCTGGCTGGAGTGCAGTGGCGCGATCTTGGCTCACTGCAAACTCCGCCGCCAGGGTTCAAGCGATTCTACTGCCTTAGCTTCCCAAGTAGCTAGGACTACAGGCCTGTGCCATCACATCCAGATAATTTTTGTATTTTGAGTAGAGATGGGGTTTCACCATGTTGGCCAGGATGGTCTCGATCTCTTGACCTTGTGATCTGCCTGCCTTGGCCTCCCACAGTGCTGGTATTACAGGCATCAGCCACTGTGCCTGGCCTGTCCCATAACCAATTTGATCCAATTTGATTCTAGATGGGTTGACTGCAGAATGCCTGGTAGATATGCAGCTCAAGTTTAAGACAAGGATCAGGTTGGAGACTGAGCTAGCATGAAACACAGCTCCTGCACTGGACAGAGCACACTCCTGCTAGAGGCCCAGGGTGTGCTCTTTTGGGCTTTTTCTATTATGACATTGCTGAATGGGAGTGGTGGCTATGCTCTCAGGACCCTACTGCTACCTAGCTGAAGTGTAAACATACTTTATCTCCTTCCTTGGCTAAAATTACATTCTTTCCTAATGATGACTATAACTTTGTTAAGTTTAAAAGTGTGGAGGAAATTTTTTTTATTTTAATTTTTTTTCTGCCAGAAGGTAAAACTAGATTTCTTGCTTTTTTTCTGGTTAGGTTTCACATATGTATTTTCTCTCTCATGGTTTATGAGGAGCTGGATGGATCCTGTTCAGGTTTTAGAAATTCATTTTTGCAATAATATCAACAATATAAAGTTTCACCTAGAAGAAATGTTATTGAGTCTTATAAGGTAAGGGAAAAGTTTAAAAAAGAAATATCTTCTTAAATTTGGGATGTAAGGTTCATGAAAATTTTTACTTTCCTTTATTCTATTTCTAGTGTATGAATACTCAGCTCAGAAGTTGCTGAGGCTTAGGACAGTCCATGTTACATATTCTCTTTAAAAATTTAATTTTTGCATAAGTGATGTATTCACATTTCAAAACTACATATGCAGAAATCTTGTGAAAAGACTTCCTCCAATATCTGCTGCCCACATGCCCAGTTCTTACTACTGTTCACCCCAGGGAATTTTAATTATTCACTTTTTCTGTATCTTTCAGCATTTCTTTGTGTATACACAAATAAAAATATTGATAGATTCTTATTTTTGTCTCTTTTGTAAATAAAAGCATGCAGTTCTGTACCATGCTTTACTTAATAACTATATATTGTCTCCCATACAGTACATAGAAAGCTTCCTCATTTTCTCCTTTTTATAGCTTCCTAGCATTCTATTCTCGGGAAAGCTAATAGTTACTGATAGACTTTTAATTTCAGTGTATTTTTAGATTTACAGAAAGATTACAAGAATATCGCAGAGTCCCCAGATATTTAGAGGGTGGATGGCACCAATACAACTTTAAAATGAAATTAACATATCTTTGGCAAATTGATTATTAAGAAAACTGTTTGTTTTTGTAACTCAATGAAGGTATGAACTATATATTTGCTATACTTAGGAAAACCCCAAATTTTTCATTAAAGGAATTACAATAAAATCAGTAACTTTTGCTTAAGAACCTCAGTTTAGATGGTAAATTTCTTTTACTTAAAAAAAAAGAAAAATAATGTACTTACTTTTAAGATTCTGAAGCAACATGGCTAACAAAGTCATAAATTTCGAATATTGAATAACAGAGAAATCCATTCTTCTAGCCCACAAAAATCCAGATACATAATAATCCAGTAGAATGGCATCCTTTAAACAAGTTTCAAGGTTTTTGAAATTCAAAAAGATTCTGAGTTTTCTGCAAAATAAAAGAAAAATCCAGACATTACATCAGATTAGATATTGAACCATCTATTTCCTAAGTTTTGAAAACAGGTTTTTTTCTTGAATGAAAATTCTATAATGCCCATAATCTGAAAATATTCAGTTACATCAAATTTCATAAGACCAAAGTGACATTCATACGAGATTGAGCACGTTCAGGGTGGTATGGCCGTAGACCAAAGTGACATTCAGAAAAAGAAACAGAAAGAATAATGAAATGGGAGCACACTCTATTTTTCCTTCCTCCTCTTCCTTATTTTCTAGTTCTCCTCATTCTTCCCCCTTCATCTCCTTTCTTACTTGTTTATGTATAGCAATTTTACTACTATTTTTTTCTCTGAATTTCAATGTATTTTTTCATTTATAAAATTTTCTTTTATTTCTGAAAATGTTCTGAAACTAAGTTGTTAAATATTCTGATATATGAAAGATATATATCTCATATATATGAGACATACCTATGATACACACACACACACACACACACACACACACACACACACACACATTTTGAGACAGGGCCTGCTCCATCAGCCAGGTTGGAGTGCAGTGGTGCGATCTTGGCTCACTGCAACCGCTGCCTCTCCAGTTCAAGCAATTCTCCTCCCTCAGCCTCCAGAGTAACTGGAATTACAGGTGTCCGCAACCATGCATGGTTAATTTTTTGTATTTTTAGTAAAGACAGGGTTTCACCACGTTGGCAAGGCTGGTCTTGAACTCCTGACCTCAAGTTATCTACCCGCTTCAGCCTCTCAAAGTGCTGGGATTACAGGCCTGAGCCACTGCACCCAGTTCATTCTGCTATATTTTAAAAAGAATTTCAATTATCCATATTTTAGTCATTTTTTCTAGAATTTTAATTTTTAATTCTTTTCAACCTTAAAAATTTTTCAAGTCTATTCCTTTTCATTTTGGATACTTTTATCATTACTGTGTACCTTAGTGTGTTTTCAGCAGGGTTATTCTGGGGGTGGCTCTAAATTTCCCCTCAAATTCCATAAGATCTTTCCTTCTCTACTCTTTCTTAAAAACATGTTTGATAATCTTTTATTTCTTTATCTCTTTCTTGAGCTTTTATATCTCTGTTATATGCTTTTTGTAAATGTTTCATATATTTTAAAATTTATGGTAAAACATGTATTTTTTTGTCTGCTCATGGTTATATCTTTCTGATGTATTTTATTTGCTATTTCTCTTTCCCGCTCCTCTTCTATTTTTTTCTTGCAGTGTCTTAGAATGGATATCCTTTGTTTATACCTCATCTTTGGATGAAGTGAGCTTTTGTCCTTGAATAGCTACTTTCAGGAAATACACTGGAGGTGAAGACGTGGTCATGTTACAAACTGGCAGGCATTTTCTGTATGAAGTAACTTTCTGTCGATTATTCTAGCATTTAGTTATTTATTTTTAATTGGTAAGGAAAAATAAAGAAAAGAATGGATAGACTCTCTTTATTATCATATAAACAGTCAATTTTCTGTGATACAGAAAGGATCTGCTCCAAACCTACACACCTGGTCCTGCTATTGCAAACAAGCGTTCCTGGAATGGGACTTAAGGGTTTCTCCTCCTGGGAGATTAAGCAGATAGATAGATATAAATGTAAATTAGCTCATTCTAAGCTCTCTGACTATGGGCATCCTTCTGTATATCTTCTCCTGCATTCTGGTTGATCTATCATGACTGTGGCCATCATCTTTCTGTTTTGTGATTTGGACCACTAGCATTCTCTTGGTTTTGACAAAGATGAAGGTGATATTTCCTTACTGTTTTTATGTGATTTCTGAGGGGGGTAATAGGTGTGTGACAACTTTTTACTGCTATCTTCAAAAATGCAAGGCCTTATTATTCTTAACATCAAAATAAATGATATAACCAGATTAATAAATATAGCAGGATTAAACAAGTTTGGGAGCAAATAAATCTGATGTTGATATGTGTCTATTTCTTCAACATTTCATCTACAGTGGTATCAGGATAGACCTCAAACCCAAAAGAGTACGGATTATTCTAAGGCAATCATGGTAATGTCACCCCTTTACCATAATGTAATTTAGTATATGGCATGTCTCAAAAATAATTATTGTTCTATGATGGGCATGCTCCTAAATAATTCTAAATAACTAATAACAGAGGATAAAGTTTTTTTTCTGTTGAATAAAAATAAAAAAAGAGTAAACAAGTGCCTCTAGTTGCTACTGCCAAGTGATCTTGTAACCCTAAGAATAATGGGTCCTAAGATTAGCCTCATTTCTTGATGACACTATTTAGACATTGACTCAATTAACCTTGAAGTTAATCTATCTCTGAGTTTCCTTTTATGTCATATATTACATACATGTACATATATGTATATGTGAGAACATTATATATTTTTAATTTTTAGGTCAATACGGTCAGTTTTTCATGTTGCATGTCACTACACATTTTGATACATTTTTTTCAAGCATTCAACTCAACTGGCAGATATAGACATCCTGATGGTGGTGGTATTAGGGTTTTACTCTATTAGCCAGGGATCTTTAATTTGCATTGGACATCATTTGGCAAGATTTATTTCTCAATGTTTAATGTACAGTGTCATTTACTCTTAAGTGAAAGTCAGTAAGAAAACTTCTACAATAATGAAAACTTGTGGTATGGTTATGGGATAAATAAGTAGGCCAGTGGAATACGTAGAAAGCCCAGAAACAGACCCAACGTACACAGAAGCCTGGTATATGGCAGAGGCAGTATTTCAAATCAGTAGAAGAAGTATGAATTCCTCAAAAATGGTGCTGGGAGAATTGGATATCCAAATGGAAAATAAAATAAAATACTATCCCACATAATACATTAAAATAAAATCCAGGTTGGTTAATGATTTAAATGTCAATAGCAAACATTACAAACTTTAAATTTAAAAAATTTCTGACATTTGGATAGGCCAAAATTTCTTAAAAGTGACATCAAAAAATACAAACCATAAAGAAAAAGACGAATAAATTGGTCTTTGTTAAACAGACAAAACACTTCTGGAGAATCAGAGACAAATTACATTGAAAAGACAAGCTACAGACTGGGGAAAAACTGTAATGAACGTAACTGAAAAATGATTAGTATTCAGCAAGGAAGGAGAAGTATGAAGCCTTTCCATTCTTTAGTCTTATCAGTAGGATAGAGACCTAAATGCAGTTAATAATAGATCAGGATTCTCAAATGGGCTTTGATGTCCTCCATTGGTTGAGAATCTAGAGTAAAGAGAAATGATAAATTAAGATCTTTCCAGCCTGGCCCCGTGGCTCACGCCAGTAATCCCAGCACTTTGGGAGGCAGAAGTGGGCAGATCCTAAGGTCAGGAGTTTGAAACCAGCCTGACCAACATGGTGAAACCCCATCTCTACTAAAATACAAAAATTAGCCAGGCGTGGTGGCGGGCGCCTGTAATCCCAGCTACTCAGGAGGCTGAGACAGGAGAATCACTTGAACCCGGGAGGCAGAGGTTGCAGTGAGCCAAGATCGCACCACTGCACTCCAGCCTGGGCGACAGAGCAAGACTTCAACAAAAAGATATTTCCAAAACTCCAATTATCTTTTGCAATAAATTCCCAAAATTGGGACTGCTGAGTTATACTGACCATGGTGAGATATGCTGCTAAACTTCCCTCCAGAAAGGGAAGTGCCAAATAAGTCTTTCATCAACACCACACAGGAATGTCCGCTTCTTTATACTCCAATCTAGTTTTGGATTTTGTCCGTAATCTTAATGTCTATCGATCTAACAGAAAAAATTACTATCTTCTATATGTCTTTGCTTATTCATTAGGTTGAATTTCTTTTTAATGTCCTCTATTGGTTACTTTTTCTTATAAATTTATCAAAGTATTTTGCAAACTTAGGGACATTAACCCTTTACATCTCTGATACAAGTTTTTAAAAGCATTTTGTTATGAGCCATTTTTTAAAGCAATTTTCTTGTGATTATATGATTTTTGTAACAGTAATCCTGAAGTATTTTGCACTCACTCACTCTCAATTTAAAATAGCATTACTATAAATAGGGGTCATCTGCTTCAATTCAATTTTATTTTTGGTGAGAAAAGGAAATTCAATTATTTTTTTTCTCATGTGCTTGCCTATTTTTGTTGACATGTTCTAGAATATTGTTTTAGTTTATTGTTATGATATTTTATTTTATTTTAATTTTAAATGGTCCACACTTACTGCCAGATTTCTTATATCACAATTTCTGATTGGCAGGTTTTATTGTTTAAAATTCACCAATGAACTGATTTATCTTTCAGCTGGGTTATGAGGTAAATTTTTCAATAGGACCACATGAATACTGTATTTTCTGAGTTGGTCTACATATTGCAGTATCTTGTTGCCATTATAACTAAACAACAGACACAAATAGTATTTTATTTTGTAATCATATTCTCTCAACTTCTAAATTTTGGCTACTTGTCACACTACTGAATTTTGGAGACTAACCTTGCTAAGGAAAAGTCTGAGGACTGTTATTTTCCTCTCTAGGTGACTTACTTTAAATTTATCCCAGGAAGAAGGCAATACATGAGATTTTATTCTACTAAAATATTGAAATCAAAGCTTTTACGAAGTGTAGATTATTTTTTCTGATTCACTATGTTGAAGGTTGAAGGTATATTCTAGTATCTTCAAATAATTGCTTTATTTACACTTTATATAAGTTTTCTTAAATTTGTCTTCCATATTACTGACTTGATTTTCAGCAAGGTAAGTTCTACATTGGTTTTACTCTTAGCCTGAGTTCCTTGCCTTGGTTCTAAAAGCTTCTTCTTTCTATTTTTTTACCATGTTTTTTTTTTTTTTTTTTTTTTTTTTTGGTCTCTTGTTCTGTGAATTTGATGTCCTCTTTAATTATTAGCTTTAACCCAACATTTTCTTCTGTTTCTAGCAGTTAGTTTTTCTTCTAAGTATACTCATCATCTGCCATCTGCACACTATGTATTTTAAATTAAATATTTGCCCTGAATATTTGCATATGTTCTTTGCTTTTTATTTTTACTTTTCAATGTTTAGTTGTGTTTGAATGACAGTAACTACTTGCCAAAGAATATTTTGGTGAAATCTCTGTGATCTCTTTCAACTTTGCTGTCCTCCACATCCCCTTCACCATTTTCCCTAATACCATTTGTCTCTTCACTTTTAACTTGAACTACAGGGCCAAGGATTTACCATTTCCATTCTTTCCTCAGTCATTTCACTCCAAAGGAGATTATGTAGGGAGGCAATTGGAGCAAGATACTGCTATGGTTTGAATGCAAAGTTTCCAGTATTTTACTGGCAAATATGTAAACTTTTTCTCTGTAAGAGGAGATGGAACAGGGGAGAGGGGAGAGATGGCCACAGCTGTAGCATGACAGAATGTAGGGAAAGAGAAAGATGATTCATTGTATTTTAGAAAGTTTGGTATAGTGATGATAGGTGATATACCTATCTATTTTGTCTCACCAAGAATTTGGGTAAAAATATTACAATATTCTTGCATGTTCTTGACAATGGGGTGCATTTTACTTCTTAAATATGACATGCAGAAATAGGCCTCAAGGCAAGAGCTCAGTAGCTCATGGAAGCCCAGCTACCGAAAGATTATTAAAGATGTCTCAGTGTTATTTTTGTGTTTATATAGTTACTTTTAGTCCTTATTCTTTTTTAAAAAAAATTGAGATGGATCTATAAATAAAGTCAAGGTTACATTAAAATATTTATGATTGATAGCAGCTAAGAGATCATGAGAAATGTACCCAGACATTTAACTGCTTAAAGTGAATTTCAGAAATATGTTTTAATGACACTTTAAATGTTTCATTTGGTTGGCTGCTTTCATGGAGAGCAATTTTTAATTTTAAGAGGTAGGGAAATGTGCTGATTTCTAACTTTAATAGGCTTATAACTTTTTAGACTGTATGATTTTCACATACTTCTATCATTTGGTGATAGGATACTTAAACTGTATTTCTGTCATTTTGAAAAGCATATAACCCCATTTATAATAATGCTATTTTAAATTGAAAGTGCGTGACTGATTTCAAATATTTCAGGATTACCTTTATCAAAATCATGTAAAGAATCTCAAGAAAATTGTTTTACAAAGAAATGGCTCCTAATATAATACTCATGTTATTTATCCAAAGATGATGTCTTAAAATTTGAGATCACTTCAGGTGATTTCTACATTAATGAGACAGTCTAAAAAGGTCAACCTGCTATTGAACCTGGATGTTTTTATATTGCTAACTTCTGCATCACCTTCTGCATCACTTACTGCATCCTAGGCCTTACCAACTAAAGATTAAATATATGCTCAGCATTTAGATATTTAACAACAAAGAGAGCCAATAATTCAAAAAATTCTTGTCATACAAAGTGCAATACATAGCACGACTTACAATGTGGGAAGAACGAATTTTAAAAAGCACTTGTTTGCAACACTTTTTATTTAATATTAATTGTACTTAATATAACACCTTTTACTTGACATTTAATATAAACAAATGATGAACTGTATAAAATGTCTGCTATCTGCATTGTACTATTTTGCCTAGTATCAAATACCTAGTGTTTCACATTGCAATGATCAATGACATTTGGGGGCACATGGAAATGGAAAATAACATTCTACCTAAAGGCATGATCAGTGGTATTAATATGATACATGCATTTTACAGATCAATTCTTACACTAAGAATCAGAATTCCTAACAAACATTAATTTCTATAAAAACGGTAAAATCATCAGGAGATACTTGTTTAAAATCTGTGAAATTTTAAATTCCCTAATATTGTAGAGATGCAGATAGTAAGCAGTATGGCCGATCACAAATCATCAATTTCTAGCAGAGGTTGCCAGTGCTGGAGCTGAGCGGTTCAGGAAAAGGCCTGTCAGTGTTATTCGCCTGCTCTTGATAAGCCTTCCCTTCTCAGATTTTTCTTCCAGCCAGGACATCTGTCATATTCCCTTCTCAGTAGCAAGTCATCTTTATTCTGTACATTTGTAAAATTTGTCAGTGATAACCACTGACAGAGTCATTTGCTATTTGTCTATTATGGTCCACGACACCCTGCTTGTGTCCCAAGGACTGGCCTGCAGAGGCCTGATACCAGGATGGTACAGTCCAGTGCATGACATCATCCCCACTCTCCACACATTATGGCCAATTAGGCTTCCATTCTAAAGTGAGATCATTTTTTAAATGGGTGATTACTAAAAACAACATTTAGGATATTATGCTGTTGGATGTATCTGACAAAAGTTCTAAATAGATGATCTATTGTAGAAGTAAATCGCCTAAAGAGTGAGATGTATATATATTAGAATTACTGCCTATAAATTCCATTGTAATCACATTTGTAAGTAACATGTATGCAGAGTACTTAGTATAGTATTATGCCTGATAATAATATCACAGGCAGATGGCTAAGAAAATCACAGGTGGATGGCTAGTATTCAAGATTTCCAATATAACAAAATGCATTTTCCATTCTGAGTACAGAAAACACAACTTATTCTTCTTACAGTGAGGGAAAACATCCTTTGGGCTAATGTGCATATTGACAATTTTATGAATGAAACAGAAAAAAAGTAGAAGACGGCACATGCTAGAGCCTGCTTTTACCAACAAACCTCTGCTCTTGGTTAATATTGGTAAGTTGGTTTACAATGTATTTTCTTCATAAAGGAGACTGTTGTGTAGCGTAAAAAGTTCTTTGAGAATTTTTGTGTTTCGGAGTCCAGATATATTTCAGTGCATAGTATTATAACAAATATTTTGAAAAAAGCTTAAATATGTAATCATAATTATTTATAGATGCAAAACTAGAACTGTTCTTCTGTATGCGATTGTAACAGTGAAATGCTTACTCTTGAACTCCATCGACGTCCTCTGTTAACAAATCAGTGATTTGGGCAACTGACAGAAAATCCGGAGACAGAATCTTTTCATGCTCCTGGAATTCAGTGTCTCTCTACAAAAACACAATGTGGAATGAGTTATTTCAATTGTACGTTTTATATATTATACCCCATAATATCAAAATTTGTTCTTCTTATAGTCTGGTTGCTGTCAGAAAAGGACATTTAAAAACAACAATCTTCGGGATGATATTTTTTCTTTTCCATATTTATGCAATGGCGCTTTCACCTGAAAAGTCAAATGGCTAGTCAATCTGTCTTTGGGGCATATGCACAACTGGGTGATGGTTTTCAATTCCACAAATGTTTATTATCTACACATTCCTCATTGAATCCGGGACTTATGAGGAGGCAAATACAAACAAGAAAGATGGGCCAACCTCAAGTAGCTTAACATCTAGTGAGAGGAACAAACCTAGGGTGCTGTTACAAGAAGACAAGAACACAAGTAAGCTATAATAAATGCGGCATTCAGTCCAAAAGAAGGGGCAAATATAGGCACAAGACAAGGAAATTCTACAGAGAGGAGCTCAATAGGCTTTGCAGGGCTGGGTGTGGCCAATGCCCCATGTGAATGAATCAGCAACACCAAGGTTATGAAGATAGGATAGTTAGGAACAAGTCCCATAAACATCAGCAGTTCACAATGGTGCCTAGGGTATATGAGAGGGACTAGTTGGACTTAGGTAGAAGTGGGCATTGGGAACATATGATGAAAGATCTTAAATTTAACGATTCAACAATTCTGTATTGGGTGCTCACAAGGTACAGGACATTGTGCATCATAAGTATTTTAGAACCTGGCTGGTTGAAGAACAGTAGTCTAGGAATTTTGTTTCTAGTAACACAGACAATAGTGCTCAGAACCATGAAGGTTCTGAACAGGTAAATAACAAGACAAAGCTGTGTTTTAAGAAAGGGTAATCTACTGCAAGGTGAAGGAAAGACAGGAGCAGAGGAAGAGTTAAAGAGATCATTAAAACAGTGTAGGGATGAAGCATTGGACTGCTCTGGTCTCCTTGACCCTGTGGATGATAAGAAAGTGGTGAATGTAGTCATATCATGGGGGCCTAAAAGATGGGAGAAAGAATGGAAATTCTGTTTCTGAAATAGGTGACTTGGAGAAAGTGATGGCAATACTAATAATACGTACGTCACCTTTGTGTGAGTCAGACAATGGTATCTTCTTTAGGTGGAGGAAGTGCTAAAAAGATTTCCCTAAGGCTGACACAGCCCTGTGCCCAAGTATATTGCCTGTTAAAAGAGTCTAGTTTTAGTCCTTACTCACTCCTCAGCCAAGTGCTTTTGTTCAGAGCACCACCTGCACAACTGTACATGTCGTCCTTTTTATACGGATAGAAATACAGTGTTGGAAGATGATGTTAGTTTTTAAATAGCAAGTTGATGAGTTTGATTTCAGAGGCTGAGTTTAAGGTGGAATACTAATAGTGAGGAAGGAATGTTTAGAGTTTAGTTAGAAATGTTGGAATCACAAAGGTCAAGTTTACAAACATTGGTTCAAGAGTCAACTGCAACCGTAAGAATGGATGAGACTCCTCAAAGTCAGGGCATAAAGGGAAGAGCTGTAAAGGGGAGATGGAAGAGGAGACTGGGAAATAGAGGAAAGAGAGCAGCAGCTGCACAAAAATAAAAAATTATGAGATTTTGGGAGGCAAGAGGGCAAATGTTTTTCAGTTCAACAAATAGTTATTGAGCCTTCCATGCAACTGAGTTCCAGCTAAGGGCAGCAAAAAACTGCCTCGCTATAGTTTACCAGATAACATACCAAATCCTTTTTCTTTTTCAAGAGTAGAAAAATCTCAAACCTACCACTTATTGGTAATGGTAATTGGCTTAATGTCTGCAATTTAATATTAAGTTATTATGCTACATTTTTATCTTTGAAAATCTAATTTAGAAATAAAATATGCTACATTATGAGCCACTTTTTTTGTAAGCTTGGGTGGGCCAATTAATCTAAACTAGGTCATATCATTAGATTATAAAATCATTAGGAAAAAAGTATTCTAGTATGCTGCATCTAGTAGGTACTCAGATACTTGCAAATTGAATTAAATTCACTCAGTTTCTGTTTAGGACACTGTTTTGATCTATAATATATGGTAATATTTGTTTAAACAATTTTTGGTGATATATATTTTTATTAGTGGCAAAGTATAATTATTCCCATAGTGTCAATCCCATTAGATTGTAAATTCCTCAGTCATTCAATCTTTTATTTCCTTTTAGAATTCCACAGTTCCCGATATGTCAACATAGGTTGCTAACCGGCTGTCTAAATTCATCTTCATCATCTGATGACATTGTTAGATGGCAGAGCATGATGAAAAGCAGGACTTAGAGGAACTCCAGATCTCCTGACAGTTTGACTACTGATTAATTTTATGACTTAAGGCAAGTCATTTGAACCTAAATTTGAATTCATATTAAATATCATTTTTATGTGTTTTAATACACACAAGATTGCTGTCATATTAATAATGAATAAAGATATACATGAAAAGTGAATTATACAGACATTCAGATCAATTTATCTGATTTGAAAAGTCTCTAGATAGGAGAAAAGTAGGTCACACAAGAACTATATGAAAGAGAATCCCATATCTTAACCTTTTGGACAGTAATCATTTTAGCTAAGATGCCTAATATTAGTGCCTCATTCTTTTACTAAAATTTGCAGGCTTAAGATAATCATCTTTTAGGGGAGTTTCCCTCTGGGTTTTTTGTTTTAAATTATATTCTTGGACCTATTTTAAACCAGACCTCTTTTTGTTTGTTTATACAGTGCCTTGCTTGAGAAGGATATCAGATGGCTAAAAATGTTTAATCTTTCAACATGTACATTCTGCTTTGTAAAAATTAAAGATATAATAGAAAATTCATAAATAAGCTAAAATATGTGGATATGTAATTGTGGCTTTCTCTGTAAAATTAAATCTCCAACTAGGAAAATATGTAAGCTAAATGGCACTGTTAATTCATTTTATTCCACCACCTGGTGGATTTTAGGAGTTATTCCAAGAGCAATAAAACTGTAAGTCTGATACTATCTGCCAGATAATGTTTTCCTCTAATTTTTCCCTCTCTAATGTCAACTAAACTTTTCACATTTGTATATATTTTTTGTTTCTAGAATGTAAACTTTTAGGGCCATCTTTGTATCCATCACTGGTAGTGCTTTATATGAAAAAGATTCTTAATAAGTACTCACCAAAAGGAAGATAACAGATTTCACCAAAGATTACTGAGGAGAAGTTTCCTAGTCACAGAGGACATTGATGGTCTGCAAATTCTGCACTTGAAAGGTGTTTTTTTTTTTTTTAAAGCCTGAAAATAAATGAACTCAGGAGCAGGAGCCGTGCTATGCTAAGCCATATTGGAACTGAAGCAAAAGGAAAAATCAGTAATACGGATTTGGTCTTTACTGAAAAGTTTAATCCATCAGGGATTTTTGGGGGACATTAAGTTTGATTTTTTTTAAGTATTGCATTAAAATAGAACTTCTTGACTATTGAGTTTTTTTGACACTTCCTTAAATTCTGTGCTCAATGAGAGTGCCTCATTCACCTTACCATAGTCTTGCTATGAAGGTAAAAAGCCAGTATTTTTAAAAACGACAATGAAAAAAGTGAAAGAAGAATAAGTAAAAGCAAGAGCTGACTCCTTAGAATAGATAATAAAATAGGCAAATCTTTGGCAAATGTCACTAAAACATAAAGAAAATAAATTTGTCTCACATTCAGTGACAATACATTTGAAAATTTTAAGAAAATGAGTGATTTCTTGGGAAAACGTAAGCTTTCAAAATTGACCCAGGGTAGACGAGAAAATTGATCTGATCAAACATGAACTAAACTGGAAGTCTACTTTCTAAAAAGTCACCATGCCCCGATGGTTTTATACTTGTAATTTTACTTACTAATCAAAGAACACATAAATTCTATGTCAGTCTAATAATTATAGACTATAGCGAGTTCATTTTTAAGAAGCCAGCATAGTCTACACACAAAACCCTGAACTAACAAAAAAGGAAATTATAAATCAAAATCACAAATCAATGCAGATGCAAAAATTATAATTAAAATACATCCTAGAAAATTAAATCTTAAAATATACTAAAAGAATTACAAGCTATACTTATGACCAAATCAGATTAATTTTAAAGATCCAAGAATGGATCATTATTAACAGGTCTAATATAATTTTTATGACAAATTAAATGGTACAAATTATATGCGTATTTAAATATATAATAAATAGGCACTTACTAAGATTCAGCAGCAAAACTCCCAGTAAAATATGAAAAGAAAAAAATGCTAAACATGAAAAAGACTATTTGCCAAAATCGTATTGCAAGCATCATATTGAGTAGTGAAATCCTAAGTCATTCTTATGAAAACAAGGAACTAAAACAAGGTTATGGATACCAACATTATTGTAATTCAACACACTGTAGAGGTTCTAACTAATACAATAAGAAAACTAAATATATAACTTAATAGCAGAAATGAGGAAATTTGGAAACCTTTATTTGAAGATTACATGGTTGCATACCTAAGAAAGCTGGCATTGTACTATCAAAAAAGTTATTACTAATAAAAAATTTGATAAGATGGTTTTATATAACATAAATATATAAAAGCCAGTTTTTTCCTTTACAAGAGGCTAATTAGAAACAGAAATGGTAAAAACTTGATTGAATTATATTTGGTTATAAATATAATGTGAAAAGTATAGTATCTATATAAAGAAACTATAAAACTTTATTAAAAGTTCAAGAACAAGATTTGATAAAAGAGATTTATTAAAAACTTTCAAATTCCAAGAACTAAATCCTTCCTACATTATGAATGTAATGTAATGACAACCTTAAACCCCATTAGATTATTCTGGAACTTTACAAAATAA